ATATATAAAATTTCTAACAAAAATTTAAAGTGATATTAAAATAATACAAAAACATAGAAAGAGGAACTGTTCGATCAATATTTTTTAAGAAATAGAATTAAATTTATATTATACATATAATAAATTTTAATTGAGAAAAAATAAGAGATAAGAAAATTAATACGGATAATTTTTGTATTTTCCTGAATATCTTTCTGAGACTTATTGTACAGATACAAACATGTGTAAGATGTAATCGCAAGTAATTACAGGGAAGTTGTGGGAATGATTCGCGCTCTCTCGACAGCTGCTAATTTAAATTCTCATAAACTTTAATCGCGGAAAACATGAGTTGTAGAGCGTAATAGCGGAAAGATGCAAGCGATTCGCGATCTGCGCTATTTTCGCGGCGGCGGTGTGAAACCGTCGTGAAATTATTTTATTGAGATTCGACGATTATCGAAACATTTCATTGCTTGGACACGCGATATCGCGTGACGTTCTTTTTGTTATTTCTTGCTCTCACGCACCTTCTACATGATAGATTCAATATTCTCCGTCGTGAGGAATCCTCTCCATTGGGTCTGTGAAATTTTCGTTCGGCATTCGAATTGGAATTGCGCCACGATTTTTATATCGATCGAAGTTTAATAAACGTTCTAATCCTGAACATCGTTCACGAAGGATTTCAATATTCCTCAAATCGAAATCCTTCCGATTGTGTCCTATTATCTCATATCGCGGAGATATACAATTTAATCTACAATCTATGTTTTTTATTACATTTTTATTCAATATAATATTACTTTATAATTGCTGTAAAGTAATTTCTTAAATAATTTTTCTTATAAAAGAAAGAAAAAAAAAAGAAAGAAGAGGTAAGGAAAAATTAATTAATAATTGATTCTTCAATATACATAATATCATAATATGAAATTAAAAAATGTATGGTAACACATTCATTTTGTTACAAATATTTTCAAAATTATTCAAACATCATTTGTTATTTTAATTTGCGGATACTTCGCAATACACTTCATATTTAATAATCAGAACAATAGATTAAAAAAGTCCCATGAGCTTTGATGAGCTTTGATTCGACTGTCGATCGACAGATTTTCGTTTAAATTTTCGTCAACAAAGTACAGTATAGGTCTTTTCAATTATGCGTTCCGAATCGAATGCTACGGTGTGCGATACCGTGGAATCCTTTTCAGTCGAGAGCTAATGGATTGTCAAGAATAGAAACTTCACGTGGTTTTACGATCGTTGGCTCGATGTGGCCGATCAAATGTTTTCAATTCTATTTTCCGCGAACCGCGTTTCACCCTCTCTGTCGATGCTGAAATAGTTTCAGAGATAGACGTCGCTGAAAACAACGTGCCATTTTCACATGATAACTTTTTAATCTGCAACATATATTACATGAAATATTACATACATACATCGCTGCAATTGGTGATATATCATAATTATCTCATATTAACAAAAAAAAACAATATATCATGTGAAAAATCAATAACCATTACAACAAAACATAATTTGACGCGTTCTATTATAAATATTTTAAATGAAAAGTTTAATAGGAATGTTTGTATGTAGGGCAAGAAAGAAGCACATTGTGATTTCTTCTTTTCGCTTCTCCTTGTTAGTGTAAAAGATTATTTCAATTTTTATGAGATGAAAAAATTCCCCTTTCAATAAAGAACAATTGGTAATTTTTCCAAATTTTAATCTTTGTAAGCAATCGAGAAATAACTAGCTACTAATGCCCTATTTGTTTGTGCTCACATATGGAGCTATAGATCTAGGTATGTGTATGTGACTGGCCCAAGATTGAGTGTTACCCAAAAGGAAATCATTTTAATACGTTTGAAGATTTATTATTGTATCTTTATAACTTATAAGTACAATGTAAAATAAAAAAAAAATTTTTTAAATTGTTTTAATATTAAAAATAAAATTTCCACTATAAGATATATAAACACAGCATAAGGAGGTAAACATAAAAAGTGTATAAAATATTAATTATAATGAGCTTGTATTACTCACTTAGATTATAAACTTTCTGGCTCAACCTTAATAAAATATATTAAAATAATAAACATATTGGGTTAATCAGAAAGTTCCGTCCGTTTTTTTTGCAAAAAGTATTTATTTAAGAAACAAAATGAAAAAGTACATCAATCAAAATATTGTCCATTGTTAGCGATGACTTTTTCCCATCTTTCGAAGCAAGCGAATTCCGCGGCGAAAGAATAACTCATTTTTGAAAGTTATCCAGTCAAAGTCTCATTTTTCAGCTTCTTCATAAGAATTGAAGCGTTCCTCAGCAAGTGCGTGTGCCATCGACTGAAACAAGTGGTAGTCGGAAGAGACACAATCTGATGAATAAGCCGCATGGGATAACACTTCCCAGTGAAGTGCCTCTAACGTTTCCTAAGTTTTATGATGTGAGACCGAGCGTTGTCATGAAGCAAAATCACTTTATTCGCTCAGCTTATAAATTCTCGTTCGCTGTCTCGTTTCATATTCTGATCGTTTTTCGATGCAATGCTCGGCTTAAACGGATAATTTGTTCTCGATAGAAATCCCCTGTGACTGTTTCAACAGCTCATGGTACAGTACTTTTCTGATCCTACCAAATACAATGCCTTCTTTTCGTGGATATTCCGCTTTGGCGTTGTCGATGTTGGCCGAGATCGCAAATGGTTTTTCAACGTTTGGGGTTGTCAAAAAAATCCATTTTTCATCTCAGACGATACGATGCAAAAACTCTTTTCTTTATTGTCTAGCAAGCAGAATTTTACTGATGTTTTTCGTCTTTCAATGTCTCTTGGCTTCAGTTCATATGAGACCCATTTTTCCTTCTTTGCAGACTTTTCCCAAAGCTTTTGAACGATCGAAAATAACAGATTAAACACAATTTAATGTTTCTGCAAGTTGTTTTTGCGTTTGACATTAGTCTTCATCCATCAATGCATGCAATTCTTCGAATGCTCTTGGCTGTTTAAAACGCTCTTTATCTTCCACATCAAAATTATCATTTTTAAAGCGTCGAAACCATTCTCTGCATGTTTTATTGGAAAGAGCACTATCACCAAACTTCTACAAGCAACTTCAATGAGCTTCAACTGCGGTTTTCTTTTGCATGAAGCAAACGATTAACACTTCGCGCAAATGACGCTTATTTGGCTCAAATTTCAATATTTTCGATGCAGTAAGAAGCAGTGTTATTAATGCCGTATACCTTTATATACTGAATTTTATTGACAGATGATAAAATTGAAAAATTAAGCTTGGTTTAGGTATTAGAGTTATCGACAGTTCTAGCTATAGCTACTCGCCGCTAAACGAACGGAACTTTTCAATTGACCTAATATAACAAATATTAAAAATAAAACGTTAAAATAAGATATTCTTTTTACCCGAAAAAATAGATATAAAATCAAATTTTTATGGAACTTTCTTAACTTAAACATATTAAAAGCTTCTTCGGCTATATTACTTAAATTAAAGTTAAGAGAAAAATTAATAGCAAACTTGTAGTGGAAGCGTTGCCTTTTTGTTCCACTCACACAGTGAGTTTTGGTAAAATCATATGTATATCTTTTTTCCTCTGTATCGAACTATATGCTTAACTAATAATAAATAAAAAACCAACTGATAACAGAGTGAAAACGAGATAAACAAAAATAAGTCATACCCCAAGAATTACTATACTGCCTCAAGGATACCTTTGTTATTTAACTTCACATGGACAGTGATACGAGGCTTGCATTAATATGATCATAGCCTTAAATAAAACACATTAAACATAATCTTATAATAGGTTACATATACATGTATTCATCAAAAGAAATGCCTTACCTTGAGAAATAAAATTATAAACTGAAAAATAAATTTTCAGTCTGATTTCTTTATATTCCTTCCATCATTATGATTTTTCTCTAGTCTTCTGAAACTTCAGCAAAGTTTATTTCTGTGACTTTTTTCTTTTGTGTAGATTAATGTTCAACTGCGGTTACTATGTTTTGAAAAAAAAGCAGCTGTCACATAGTGCTTCCTGTCATGATGTGCCCCACCTTTCCCTACCACGTACCGAAATTATATGCATAAATTGTATGTTAAAAACTAAACAATCTCTTGATGTCCTAATTTCGATTTTGAATATTACCTTACACTATAAATGCAAAAATATAGATATAAGACAAATTATTGCCTGCTTCGATCAATAATCTTACAGCCGGTATCGAGTTCATTGTCTCGATTTCCATCGAATTCGTTCGCGTATTAAAAGCGATCCTTATTCGGAGGCGCTCGAGCAATGACAAAGAGTACTAAGTAATTTACTTTCTCGATAGAAAAATAAAGAGGAAACGCGAGAGAGGTATGCAACGAGCGAATTGTGTTGAATCATGGAACAGTTTAAAATCTATTTGTGGATTGTACGACAATCGAATTATTCGATACGTGAATTATACGCTTTTCCAACTTATAGATCTGTAATTGTAAAATAATAAAATAATAAAATATTTTCTTGTATAATAGTGACGATATTCAACTCGAATTGATAATTGTCTCATTTATAAAATTAAAATGAATAAATTAATTTAATGTACTCAGTGCACAGTGGTGCATATTAAAGCCATCGTATACAAATAGACGTAAAAATATAAGTTTAATGTAAATATAAACAGTTATCTTCCATATCTTCTGAAAAAAACGGATTAAACCATAAAATCCTTAATACTTTTAACTGCGCTATTGAATAAAATCAATATTTAATTCGAAATATTTATAATAAACGATTTATTAAGACTGTATTATGTGAATATTTATATTTAGACAACAAATAAAAATAAAGGTCCTAAATAATTAAGCTTTTTAGCTCTTAAATAATTCAGTGCAAATTTATATACTACATCTACTGTAATAGTCTACCATCTACTGTAGTAGTTATGTCTGATGATTTGTTGTGTATTCACATGGTTTTAAAAGATATTGTATTTAATATTGTTTATATTTTACTTTTACACAAATTAAATTAATGTACGGCTTTAATCTTCTGAGGACGGCTTTAATCTTCTGTTTTTGATCGACTTTTTTATTTTAAGGGTTAAAACTTTTTTATGAATGTTATGCGGTTGAATAACAAAAAATATGACACTGTCGAGTCTCTAAAGGGGCCTTCGGTCTTCTACAAGTTAATATGCACTAGTATACACTAATACGTCCACTCAAAGTCACTATTAGAATAGTTTTTTAATTCTATTATAAAACATTATTCGATTATTGTAACATTTGTTTTCTACAGTTATTTTATTGCACATTATAAAATTGCATGAATAATGTATTAGAAACAGAAAATTTAAGAATTGGAATAATAAGAAAATAATTATTACTACAAAAGATTAAGATAAATATTTTGATACTCCGTTTTCAAACTCAATGTTATTAGACTCAACGTTGACAATTTTAATATTGAATAGAAATCCTTAGTGCATTCCAGTTTTGTCTAGACGGGTTTTAGGTTGATGACAACGTCGTGAGATTGGCTCTCCTTGGTTCGCTAATCCGAAATAATATACCGTTGACCCAGTTAGCGGCGCAACAGCAATTAGATATTCGCGCGGTGGTAGACGAGGCGGGACCAGGGCATTGATCGATCCTTCCTCGTCGCTGGATGTATTCACGTAAATGTATTCCGTCGTTAATACTCACGTATCGATCACGACGACTGCGTCGACATGGACATGAGTTACGGTCTTGAAGTTGCTTACCTGACAAGAAAGGAATTGCTTGCTCGAATCAAACAACAGCAGCGGCAAGAATTTCAGAATGACGAAGATAATCCGATCATACATGTTTCAAATAAAAAATTGTTGCAATGCTAAATAATTTGCTGCAATACTCAAATAATCGCGTTAGTAAGAATCCACTGCAAATTTATTTGCAAACAAATAAATACACGACAGACAACCTTATTTGTTTGCAAATTATTTGTCTATCATGTTTGAACTAAATAGAGTTTATATAAATTTTTAAATAATTTCATTATAAAAGTGAATTAAAAGGTTTTTAAACAAACAATATTTGAGTTAAACAACTGCTATATTAGTTACGTAGGGACATCTCAGCAGCTTTGTCTCCTCTGTAAATAGAAAAAATTTCGCAGAAAGTACAAATTTTTAAAATTGTTTCACTGGTGGTTCTATTATCTCGTTTAGCGCAACTTTGTTATATAATAAATTAGGTAAATGCGCTGTTCTTTTTTATCTTAAAAAATATATTAAAGTTTTGAGGGTATACAGAGATATGAAGAATAAGAAATAGTCCAAATTTCTTTCTTCAGTTTTTTTCATTACAAATTTATAGTCACAGAGATGTCCCCACAGACAGCATCCATAATAATTACAGAATAATTGCACTCGAATTCCATTTTGTTGTAACATAGAAGTTGTAACATAAAGTTACATATTAAACAAATTGTTTATTTACATTAATAATATTATAGTTTAATAAAAATTGCAAATTATGTTAAGACTCGTAAAATGTAAGAAGTCTAATTAATATAAAAAATCTAACAAATTATTTATTATTTATTTCTTGTAAAGTTATGTATTTCTTGTAAACTTTATTCCAGATTGAAGATGTAAGTTTAACTTTTTGTTATAGTACTTCTTTGATGCTAAAACATTAAAAATTGTGTCAAAAACAAGTGCCACCGGATTTTCTGTAATTGTCGCAATTCTGTCATGTAACATTCTTGTTTTTGTAATAAAGAAAGACAATCCGCTTCATTCGAGTTTAAAATTGGTCAGTTAACTCGCTTAATCATCGCATTCGTGAAATCGTCGCATAATAACGTGGTTTGCCATCCTATTCGTTTTGGACTCTATTAAATTCCAGTCGACGAGCGAAATGTGAAGTATCTCACGATTTTCAAAGCGTGCGATCAATTCATGATCCATGACCGCGCGCGATTTGCGGCCGCGAATTAGCGCTCTAATACGTGTCGAAAATCAATCGCCCGCACTACGCCAAGTGTCGGTTTACCGTTAATCGGTTCGATTCTACATGAACACTTTAACATCGTTACGCATCGCGATTCACAATCACAGGATTGTTCGCTATCGTGGTTCCGATTCGTATCGCTATAGTTACATAAGGTTGCAATTCAACATCGCATTCGCATTATCATCAAGTTTCGTTGTAATATTTAACATCGCGGAATGAATAAATCTTTCATAATCTCAAACATTTTATATAATTTTAGAAAAGAATAAAAGAAAAAATCAAAAGAATTTTTAAAGATTAAATTTCAGGCGAAAATGTACACTTTACATTGAGTGACATTATTTTTATATTCAAAGCAATGAAATTTTTTGCGCGGCACTCAGAAAGAGAGAAGTGGAAAGAGAAGAGGATTGAACTCGTTACTTGTATCCATAAATCCGTCCGCGGACCAAGTTGCACCAAGTGCAGAGTATGCTATGCACCGGGAATTGCACGTAACGAAGTATAGTCTGGCAAAGTGTAATGTAGCGACTTAACTTAGAGTTTCGCTTGTGTGTTAATGTGTTAGTGTACATGATATATCAGGATTTATACATTCTCTCACGCCACATTTTGGAGTTTTGTGGATTTTTTTTCTTAAAGAAACTTGACGAGAAGCCATCTTTTCTCATAACTTCTTAATTAAATTTCAAATGAAAATTTTCCTAACTAATAAGATTCACTTGAAATTGTAGAGAAATTTAATCCGAGAATTATTTAGCAAGTTGTGAAAAATACAAATTCAAAAATTTTATTAAGAATGTCGATTAATTTCTAAGAGTAAAAATTAATGATAGAATTGTGTATCTTATAATTAAATTGCAACTGTTTATTTTACAATAAATGATAAAAATTGCATTTATTAAGGGATTCTTAAGTGGTGCTCTTTTATGCGAATGTCAAGAAAAATAATAGCTGATTTACATCTTTTCACTTATTGTTAGATACGTGGTTTGCGCGACCGAAAGAGGATATAAAGGGACTGGGCAGGTCGTTCACAGTGGAGAAATTGGGGAATCATGATGTCCCCCATAATCGGGGAAACGTTGCGCATATGGTTTCTTTCGGCGCTAGTCGTTCACGGAGCCGTTGCCGGGAATCCGGACGCGAAACGCCTCTACGACGATCTACTATCCAACTACAACAAACTCGTGCGCCCCGTGGTGAACACCTCGGATGTGCTACGCGTATGCATCAAGCTTAAACTCTCGCAACTCATCGATGTGGTAAGTAAACTTTTTTGAAACATTATTAAAAACTAAAAAATAATCCTACAGTAAAAATCCTGTAAAATCACATTGATGACATAATTGCTGAACTAAAATCTATAATAGCTATCATGAATAAGTTCAGACAATATTGATATATATAATCGAAAAGTCTGCTATTATAATACAATAATCGATGATCAGCTACATTCATAATTATAGAAAATATTGATATAATAATTGACAAGTACTTGTTATAAATGAAATTTTGTTGATAAAATAAATCACGATATATTACATCAGAAGATAGCACCATTAGAGATTTTTAGTAATCCTAGTGTCAATTAAAAACGTCTTGTAATTCTTAAACATCCTTTAGATACAATATATACTCGGCTTTCTTTTTCCAATGCTTTTTCAATATTTTTTTCATTGCCTTTTTTATTAATAAAGAAGCATATTTGCTTGGTATTGTCCTATTCTTTAATGTCTGGCGTTTTACATAAAAAATTGTTTACAATATGTTTATTTTTATAAAAATTATAAGCAATTAAATTAGGTTAGGTATGTCACTAAAAGCTGATTGTTCCATCTTTTGGTAAATTTTACCTGTCGGGTAAGTAGCAAGATTACTCAATTACATGCGCGATTTACCTAACAGGTAAAATTTATCAAAAGATGGAACAGCCTAAATGTATCCTCGAAGTGTGGCATTAAATAACAGATGTATTATATAAATCAATACAAAATATATTATAATAATAATAATATAAAATCAATAATTTAAACAGAAAATTAAATTATAGAAATTGTTTTGCAGAGTTAAAAAGAAGATACGCGCAAATTGTAGAACAAAATCTATTACAAATATATTTTATAACTTATCTTTAATTTTTTTAACAGAATCACATTTTATTTATTTAATCCTTGCCACTTCTCTCATGGTTTGATCATAAAAGAATATACAGATGCATTGTCTTTTCTTCTACTCTACGAAATAATAGTAATTATCTACATCCAAAGTATCTGTATAGAGTATCTGTATAGAGTGTCTTTAAACTTTGCTGATGTTGCATACTCTCTAAGACAATAATTAAACTTGTGCAAGTATTAAAGTGCGTGTTATATCTATTATAAAATCAATAGTTTATAAAGTCTACGGACATTTTAGAATGACTAATATGCGATTCAGGTTAAGATATTCCCCTGGAAACTACCGTAGAAATCCAAATTGTCGCAAAAGAAAATTGCACGAAATTCGAGTAATTGAGATAATTACTTAGGTGAATTTGGATAAAATTTTAGTTAATGTTGTGATTATGTTTCGCAAAGTTAAAGTATAAGAGCTTTTAAAAACCTTAATTTAAGATCCCATTAGTAGGTTACATTTATTAATAGCATAATTAACTAATAATATAATTAATTTGCGATATAATAATAATAATTTAATACTATCGATAATTGTATTCCATCGATTATAGACAATAAAAATTCCCTTGTTTAATTCTACAGATATATCTATTTGTAAAGTTAAAATTTTATGCAGATCATGATACATAATCCAATATAATATTCAATATATCCATAATACTTGAAGTTTAAGCTAATGACAATTATGTAAAATTAGTTAACAAGAAGCAAGGCATTACACTTGTTTATCACTAGAGCAATATTAGATAAACATATAATGAGAATCAGAGAATATCTTCCTGCTCAGTAACTCTGTCAGAAGTTTATATCTATGCATTTAACTACTCCTGCGTCTATTTGGCAACAAAGCACTTACGGCTAATAACACAAGCATTAATTAATTAGCTAAACTGTTAGACTGTCTCTATTCAAATTCATTGGCCATACTTGACATTTAATAAATTGCTTTATCAAATTTATTTATGATCTGACTTTTTAATGGAAATAATATGAAAAAATAACACATATTTTAACTCTGCTATACGACCTTTTTACAATTTATCAAATTTATATATTAATCAAATAAAGAAAAAAAAATATAATTTTAATAAAATTTTTGAAATTTTAGGAGAAAATTAGAAAGTCAATTACATATTAATAATCTTTCCTTTACAATTCGATCACCGAAACATAAAAATTCAATATAATATGTAATATCATAAGAATTTATCGCGACATATAAAAACATATAAGAACAAACATTGATCAATAAAACATACTCTGTGATCAATTGAAAATTTTATAGCATAGACAAGATTCAAAAAATTGGCAGACACACAAAACTGCCAATAATATTCTCAAAGTAACAGCATGCGTTAACTATAACGTTGAAGAATAATATCACTCAATTTCAGTCTCGTAAAAATATACACTGGGACAGTAATTTTTTGAAATCGACCGCGACTGAAGTTCACAGAAATTTCCGTCGGGAACGTCTAAATAAGATAAAATATGCATTCGCTTTACCGGCAAAAATTTTAATAATATGATATTTGAATCATCAAACTGCAAGTAATATGCAAGTATTTAGTAGTGTTATGCGTGTGAAGAAATATATTCATTTATGGAAAAATAAAGAAAAATTTTACATTATAATTTGTTTTATTTGTCAATAATTTTTCCTTTGTTCCGTATTACTTTACGAAAATTACTTTATAAAAATACAGACAGATTGAAATAAAAAAATTAATTCTTA